CAGCCCCACCGGAAAAATGTGTCCAAAAAAAAAAAAAAAAAAAAAACGAGGAAAGAAAGACAGACAGACAGACAGACAGACAAAGTAGGGGGGCAAGGTGCCCTGGAACCCCGAGGGATGGGGCACGGGCCGGGATGGGGGCGTTGTCGGGGCACAGGTACATGGGGACCAGGGCTGTTTACTTATATGGCTTGGTCTCCGGAAACAGCTGGGTGACTGTGCAGTCAGGCCCCAAATGTGAGAACGCTTTTCCGCACGGGAACTAGTGAGATGTCTGGGCAGAGAGCCTCCCTGGCGGCCCACTCCTGGGCTCAGGGCCACCACCTCGGGGGCTGGGCCTCACCATCTGGGTCTCGTCCTGGCACTTCTGCCTGACGTCACTCAGCATGTCCCGGAGCTTGGCCTTCTGCTGGTCCATCTCGTCCAGGCGGTCCTGGGCGTCCTGCTTCTGGGCTTCCAGCTCTTGAAGACTGCTTGTCTCCCGGTCGAGATCGTTCTGCAATTCCTAGAAAGGAGGAGGAGGAACTGACTTGAGGCTGGTTAGAAACCAGGCTTGGATGGGGCCGGCAGGTGGCGTGACTTAAGGGCGCTGGATTCCTATGTGGCCGCCCACGGTTCGAGTCCCAGATCTGGCAGCTTGCTTTCTCGCTTTCTCTCTCTCTCTTCCTCTCTGGTCAAATTAAAATAAATAAATAAACTAAGTTAAATAAAATAATGCTTGAAAGAAAGAAAGAAAGAAACAAACAAACAAACCAGGCTTGGAGGGCCAGCAGGTGGCATAGAGATTATGTCTCATGTAGCTGACTGCATTTCGAGTCTTGGACTGCACAGCTTAAAACATGCCAGGCAGGGGACCAGCAGTCGGCATAATGGCTATGTCGCTGGACTCCCATGTAGTCGACCGTGGTTTGAGTCCCAGACTCGGTGGCTTAAACTCATGCTGGGCGCGTGTGCGTGCGTGCCCAAGATCCCAAGAGGAGAATGGAAGAGAAGGGATTGCGGTGTGGCCATCCCCCCTGGGGGGTGATTTCTCGCTTTCTGTATCTCTGTCTCTCTCTGTCTGTCTGGTGAGCGCACTCGCCCTATAGCAAAAACCTCTCC